CTAGGATCCACCTCTGCAATAACTGGTAACCCAAAAGCCCTCTTTACGGACAACTGCTTCATACAGACACCTGATCAAGGCTGTGCTCTGGCAGAGCCCTGTGGCCCCTGGCACCCAACTTTTGCTTTTGGGTGACTAGAAAATATCAGACTTTTCGTACAAATCATATGCTGGGCAGCCTAGATTTTACAGGTTCACAGAACTGGGCTCCTTTCAATGTTCCTTACAGCACAGCCTTGCTCATCATTATAGACAGTTTGCTTTCTTCCCTGGAAAAAAGCCTTTAAATTTTCTCTAAATTAAGATGGACAATTCCTACGGTCCCTTCAGTGTCTGTATAACAAAGTTGACTGTGAGTATGATGAGACCTATGACACCATATTTAAATTATAACATTGGGGTGAGGAGAAAGGAAAGGGGTCTCAAGCTATGTTGCCCTAGCCCTGATTACAGGAGACTTGCAAACATGTATGAATTTCACATTTTGAAGAGTTTTTATAATCCAGAAAAATATGTGATAACATGTGTTTGTACATACTGACACAATCATTAAACAAATAGTGGCTGAAGCTTTAAAATCTATTGACTGTATCAGGCTTTGTAATCACAAATATGCCATTTTCAGTTTCAATCCAGTTATAAGACATTCTATCACTCATACCAATAGAAAATACATGGGCAAATAAAGATGCTCAATATTATATTATCTATAAAGAGGACACAAGTTCATTGTACACAAATACTCTCTACTTTATTTACTTGTCTTCATGTGATGATAAATACAGATGTTAAGCAAAACGAAATGCAGACTTGGTGCCAACAGAGAAACAAGTCTTGAAAAAGATGACCCCCTCAACTTCGATTCTCTTTTTACAGCTAGCATTAGTGAACATCTTGCAATGCTGAATGACAAAACAAAATGAGCTCACTGTGTTTAAATACCGTGGCCGCGTATTCAGAAGAAGCTCCTAGTATTTTATGAGTATATCACAGCTATGCATATCAGTACCTCTTAGCACTAGTTGCACTGATTTCACGGTGAATTCAAAATTTTCGGCGAACCGCGGGTCTTACCTCCAGTGCTTTTCATGATTGATGCATGGAACAAAGCGTTTCTGTGCCGACTTTTCTCGGTCAGTTGCAAACAGGATGCAAGTGATTACGAACAAAATACACCAGAATACACTTATCAACGGAATGAGACTGTTTTTTTCCCTGAGAATTGGACAGACTTTTCTTTTCAAGAGCTTCCGGAAGAGATTCAAAGCAAAATCAAATATATCTACAGTGTAATTAATGCCTGAGGAGATGGCATGTGATGGTCACGGCACACTTCAAACTGACGCAGCCACACAAATTCTTGTTGTCGCAGCTCTGAGTTCTCATGAGTTCATTTACATAGGCAATTTAATGTCACAGACAAATGCCACCTTTTCGGAAATGTTGATTCAACTTGGCTGCGAGCTGTACAAATTTCTTTGATTGCACTGTTGCCAATAGAAACATGACGGTGCTCAACTACCAAATGCAATACTTACCTTTTCAACTTATCTTGAAAAAGGCTCTAAGACGGCGAGGTAAGGAACATCTACTTAGGCCAAAGGAAGTCGAAAATGAAATCAATATTTCCCTGAAAGGAAATTTGATGATCAGTATGAAGTGCTGGCGTGATATAATAGCATTGACTCACTTACATATAAGTTAACCTTTTTTATAAGTTTTGAGTGCGGATCACTAAACAGAGTCACGCTGTAACACAAACAAATACGAAAACCTGTAAAGAGTATGGTCCATGACGTTTTCTCTTTTTTTTGTCAGTACCTTAGAGAATAATATGGCTAGTTCTTAATTGTCGAAGGTACCTCTCGCGCCGAAATGATTAAAGCAGAGCTTCTATCAAAAGAGCCTAGTCGCGTCTTCTCCTGCATGAACGCGTATTAAAATTGAACGGCGGGGAATGCATCGCAGACACAACTCTAGTAAAAATAAACTGGCTCAGCATTTTAATATAAGATCCAATAATGCATTATCTGTCCCTAGCAGCGTAAGGGAGTCTCCCTGGCTAACTTTTTCACTTGACAGTTAATTGCCACTAATCAATTTATACTGGAAATCTGAGGCCCGTTTCAAACGTCGTGCTACTGCCTTGCCGAATTAAATTGATCGATTATTAAATCGACTTTAGCTTGGCAGTAGTGCGACGTCTCAAACCAAGTCGTGCTTGTGTCGTGCTGCAGTCGAGCAACAGTCGAGCCAGCTTAGCACGGCAGTAGCGCGACGTTTGAAACAGGCCTAAAGTAGCCTTCATAACAGGCGTTATAAGTTATTCTGGCGGAGTGGGAAACGATGACAATTAAAGTCGAGAAGGTTTTTCTTCGCTTCAGTGGGCGGAATATTGAAATTACTTAAGGTCCAGTTTGGCTCTTTGTTTTACGATGGTGTCTATCAAATTGTGAATCAGAACTTCTACGAAGCCCTGATTGAACTCATTAAGACCTTTCCATATCCCACTCAACTGAAAGTTTGCTCTCGTTATTAAAATAATCAGCTCACTAAACATGCAGAATAAAACGTTTTTTGACTGATCGTACTGTTTACTATAGAAACACGACGCTACTCAACTACAAAATACAATACTCACAGTTTTAAACTTCACTCGAAGAAAGCCAGTGAGACAGCAACTTACGGATCCTCTTCTTCAGATAGATGCAAGCGAAGCAAGTCCAAAGTGAAAGGAATCTTTCCAAGACAGGAAGTCCAGTTAATAATACCCTCTGACGTCAGTGTACATTGACCCTTATTTTATAAATATTGTTGTGTTGTGGGTGTGATCAGTGGTATTTATAGGCAAATAGAGTCACGCGGTATTAACAAAAAAGCAACTGATTATCATTATTAAATGCATAAATATGAATATATTTTTTTTCAGATTATCGAAAGGAAACTATGGGTGTTTCTACGAAATTTTTTTAAAATGATTAATTAACTAACTCACCGCCAAACTGAGAAAGGATACCACAACGATACATTTTTTGTGTGCAAGACAAGTATATTTTATTTTCAAGTTAGTAATATTCATTGTCAAGGTAGTTACTTTCATGCAGCTTTCACGGTGTATTCATTCATTAAGACAAATGTGGGTCGGAATGCAACTCAGCACGTAGCTCTTAAATATTTCTTGCTTTGTATGTATAAATTTTTAACTCTTATTATTTTAGTTTATGGCTGTACATATATATCTTTTTATTTCATAGTGTCCCCAGTTAGCTTATATAGCTAAAGTATGTGACACTCGAATAAAGTTTACTGTTAATATTATAATTATTGATATCAATATTATGATTATTCTGGAATAGTACGCCACAATAATGCGTAAATGTCGTAAATGTCCAATCATTTCTCCCGATGAGGGAAGGGGGGGGGGGGGGATGAATAAGCCATCTTTCAAAAGGGGCCTGAAAATGGATTTTCTTAGCAGCCCCTATAAATCCATAATTCCTAGTGAAATTGGTATCAAATTAAAGCTGAAGGACGGTAACTGGTACATAAGGGAGATAGGGCAAGGTTTTTACGGGGGGTGGGGGAGTGTAGAATAGAATAGAATAGATTAGAATAGAATGGATTAATTCTTTATTTAAACACGGTAAAATTCATCAGGAGTATTTAATAAATATATAAATAAATAAATAAATAAATAAACCTAACTACCCCAAACAATATGCAAAACTGTCTACAAGTAACCTAACTAAGACCTGTTTTTCATGAATACCGTGTACACAGTACTTTAAAAATCAGAAACTTAGATGAGCCAAGCGTTTAAATTGACTTAAAGATTTAGCCTCTTTCAGGCTGTTCCAAAGAACTGCTCTGCTATAACTGAAGCTGTTCGATGAAGTTAGTTCGCGGGAATGGGACGATTACTTTGTTAACAGAGTCCCTTAGGGAGTAGCGCGTTTCATATCGTTTAACAAATTTCGAGGATAAATATCCTGGAACCAGAAATTTATTTTAAGACTAGCTTGCAAACCATTAGGGCTTTTTGCATTTGAAACTGAGTGCTCAAGCCTTTCCAATTTAGTTGCCTAAATAAGCGGTTGGCATCAGCATCATATCTAGAAAAGGTTAGAACCGTGACGAGCAGCACGATTCTGAAGCTTCTGTAGGAGCTTCTGCGCCAATGTTGAAGAGACAGGAGCGTCACAACGAAGGAACTCTAACAGCTTTAATGTCAACAAAATCGCTCGTACAAGAAGATCGATGCGATAATCACACACACAAGGGAAACCAGCGCGCGCATATAATATAACACAATCCTGTTGGCGCAACCTCTTCTTCCGCGTAAATGAATGCGAACTACCTAAAAGGTTAGAACCGAAACGAAAGATATAATGCCATAATGTAGAACAAAACTTGATAACAAACAGACTAAGGCCTAACAGTCACTGCATGATAAAACTTGTCGCTGTAGGATAAAACTTAACGACGAAAAGGCAAAAAATCTAACATAGTCATTTAAGTACGAAGGTGGTTTGCACTGTCTTTGAGGTCTTGGACCAGGAGTCTCAGGAGGAAAACTGGGTCAGGACGGCAGGGTCTGATCTGGGTCTGTCACACTGGTGCTGGGCTCCTCCTGTAGAACAGGTAGTGAGGGAACGCCAATAGGGGCATCAAGGGTAGTGTCATCGCATGTGGATGAGGGGAATTGATCCTCGTCAGACGGCACGGAGGTAAGCTCAGGCGGCGCAGGAGGAGGTGACGCTGGTGATACTGAGGCTGCAGGCACAGCGGGGGCTACCGGAGAAGGCTCGTCATCCTAGTCTTGAGAGGCCTGGGGACCAGAATGATCGGACACTATAACGGAGGGAGAAGTTGCGTAACACTCAGACAACTTGACTTTGGAGGAGGTGACCCTCAGTTGTGAACCACTAAACTTCTTAACGAAGCACCAAGGGAAGCCAATGGAAACCACGATAAAACGATCACGCGCACGAGACTTGTCCTTATCGGAAATGAGGTACACAATGTCGCCAACGTGTAGTGAAGGCGTGCTTCACTAGACTTCTCACTGGAGGCATGGTTAGTGGAAGGTTGCTTGTGTTTACCAAGTATGAGGTCGTAATCAGACAACGGCAACTGTTCGTGGGTGAACTGATTGCGTTGAGTCTACAACTCGCGAGATGATAAGCCAGGAAGCCGAAGACGGGAGTTAGGACAGGCGGTGGCGAAAGCAAGGCCAACTGCTGACTTACTGGTCTGCCAACGGGCTCTTGTCCGATGAGTTTTTCCTCAAGTTCATGGACAGCCGTCTCAGCGACTGGGTACTTGTTTTTGTTCTTAACGCGACCGACATCGATTTTGACGTTCAGGTGGTTGAGAGAGTCGTTGTTGGCCATGGACTGAAAGCCATGGGAGAGATCTACACGTATAATTGCTCTTGGGCGGTCAAGTGGGTGGAGACTGACAACTAGTTGTGTGAGGGCGTCACAGAGGGTATCGTGTTTCTCGTCATGTACCAAGCAGGAAGCAGTGAAGGACGTGGTGCATTCTCGCAGCACTAGGATCAGCTGACGGTAGCGTTTGATCACGTCAGCAGCAAAGGAGACGCCTACGCCCTCTGGGGGGATCGTCAGACGACTGCTTGACCAAGGAGCTTGGAAACGACTTCAGGGAGGCGCAAGTGTGGCAGGCAGATGTTAACCCAAACCCTAACCCGTCCCGATTAGCTGAGCTGTCCCTCGTTTTCCAGTAAGTGGAGGGTCTTTGATTAGGGTTAACCGAATTTTAGAGGAGTTTTTTTTTCGGTGTCAGTCAGTCGCCGGGATACTAGTATATCTTGCGTGTGAACAATCACTTAGGAGTTTCACCTACAAACTGAAAATAATGTTAGAACTGAACCGTCTGAGCAACTGACGGGATAAAATACATAGTTCATCTATGACTGAAAAATTACATGGAGAAGTTACAAAAAGAGTCTTGAATGTAACCCGTTTTATCTACTTGTAAAGGAATGTAATAGTTCAGGAAGTTAAGAGACAAGGTATAAGGGCGAACACACGGGACTCGAGGTCATTGTCATAAACAAACTATACAAACTATACAAATTCTCTGAAACACAATAGGACCATTTCCGAGTTTTAAAAACTCAACCGTTCAAAACGAGGCTAAGTGCAAAACCTTTCTGGTAAAAATGAGAATGAGTTCTATTTGCACGGGAATAAACTTCGCATTTAGCCTCGCTTTTAAACAGAGGCTTATGGCAACTCGAAAATAGCCTAATTGAAAAATTATCTCAAAATTACGACAAAGCCCTGATTCAATAAGTAAGTAAGCAGCAGTAAGAGTTAGTTGTTTTTGAAAGTCTGTTGGGATTCGATGATGCAAAGGTACCGAATCCTTGGAACCCTAAACCTCTCATTGGTTCCAGCATATCTATAAGCCCTGTCCAAAATTGTCTTACCACTCTCACATTCGATGGGTTCTTACTTCTTTGTTTGGAAATGTTATGTTAAAAACATTTCATCGGCCCCCCTTAACTTTTTTTGTACCTGCGCAAGCGCACTGTAGCTCCTTTTTCTCTCTTTTTCTTTTTATGCGTTCACGTCCCCCAGAGTCTGATGTTTCTTTAGGATGAATGTCCTTCGAAAGGAAGGTAACCAGTGGTTCGCAATATGTTCAGCAAATATAGAAAACAAATGAGGATGTTCGTGATGATGAACACGCAGTTGCCTAATATATATAAGCCCCTTTACTGGGCGAGTTTCAGGTCGGTACATACTGCAAGTACGGGTACTTGTCTTCTTTTTTTTTGCGGACATAATGGCCCGTCCATTTTTGGGCTATTAAATTTACGGGATCCCTTTGTGGGAGAAGAAATGTAAGGCTGTAACAATACAACGAACTATCGATTAATCGCGATATTAACGCTGCAATAGCGGTGGATCGATATTAAAAATGAAACATCGATAACAATCACGATAGTGAGCGAACTATGGATTGTTTGAATAGTTTCTACTTCTAACATTTTAACTTCTTTGGAAAATATAGAAGCCTTTTTTCACCCATCTTTGATTCTGAAGGTCACAATAACGGTAAAAAAGAAACTAAAAACAATCTACTGTCCTATTGTACCTAGAATGTTTTAGCTTGTTGATTCTTGGACAGCTTTGGCGACAACAGTTTGACTGTTTAAGTCAGAGTGCTTGTTCAACTTTTTATTTGGTTTTACCAAAGATTGTTTAAACTCTACTGCAATGTTCCCGTGTTCATGAAAAAACTCATTAAGTTAATTAAATACCACTTGGCTCTGTGCTCCATAGACTACCTGTATTGTATGACCGAAACAGATATTTCTGAAAACTATCGAAATACTATCGCAATATAAATGTGACCTATTACAATCAGTTGCATCAGTTAAAATTTTCCAAGTGTCACCCCTAAAGCGAAATAGCTGCCTGACCAACAATTTTATAGGGGGTTTACAAGTTGAAAAACTACAGCTACCTTTTTAATGGATAGTGTTTTTGGCGCACGAGATTGACGCAATTGGGGCGACAGAAAATTAATGTTCAGAAGGAAGCGTTTTCTTTTTTTTCTGTCCGTATAGAGACCAATTACAGAACTAAAAATGCCTTAGTCATATGATAGATGTTAATTATAACAATTTTGCTGCAGTGCCCTATTTCCAGTTCTGCACCAGGTACGTTACTTAGTAATTTGGGAAAACGCCGGATCGGTACGCAACAGCTACTCACCAACCTTGACAAAAATATCAAGAAACCCGAGACCCAAAGCAACTTTACTTTCAAACAACCAAAAAGTCCCCCGCAGAAACTTCAGATAATACTTTTAGTAAGATTCGTGACATAAATTGTAAAGATCGAGGAATATCGATAAACGGCCAAAGCGTCATCTTTAACAAAGTCATGTTCGAACGTACGAAGGAGGTGTGACTATTCCAATCTCAAGCACTGTTGTAGCAAATGCTGACTGCTTCACTTGACACAAGCCAAAGTCAAGTGATTCATGGCTTGAACGACGTCCAAACAATCGCTTTAACTCGACTCTTATATCCCGCTTAACGAATGAATATACTATGACATTTACAGCAGAATTTAAGAAAATCAAAATCCTGGAAATGCGAACAATCTTGATTGTAACTGTACACAATCCGAACACGTCGCAAAATCCACGGTACGCTGATAGAAGCCAACAGAAGATGAACAACAAGACCACTGAAGCAAAAACTTTGAGATTGGATCTTTCTCTTCTTCTTTGCCGCCTTTTCTTTGGAACTATACGGTCACAATATCTTTGTTCAACACTTTCTTGCGCTGCTATTCGGCGGGAATGCGCTCGCGTTATCACATACAGATGGCAGTATACGAGAACCATCATGAAACAAGGTGTTATTTCAAGGAGGAGTATCACAACTCCCGTGTATACTCTTTTTGCTTTGTCTCTGCTGTTAACAAGCGACTTTTCCCACAACAAACTGGGCAAAAGGGAAATAAATGTTGGTATTATCCACGAAATAGATATCATTGTCACGACTTTAGAACGAGTCATCACGATGCAGTATCTTAGAGGTCTGGTGATAGCGAGGTATCTATCGCCAGTCATAACACACAGGTTTCCAACTGAGACGTAAAGAACCAGATTGTAGAATGTTATTAGTGCATGAATGTTTAGAGGTATCCAGAATGTGTGGATAATATATGTAGGTATTACCACAAGACCAACCAACAAATCCGCGAATGAAAGGGAAAGGATGAACCAATTGGCTGTCACATGAAGAGATGGTCGTTTAATGATCAGATATATAACAAGTGTATTACCGAACACTGTAGTTATACCTATTAAGACTACCAAGGTCCAATACCAGACAGCATCCCTTTCGCCAGGAATGCTAATTGATGCCATTTATGGCAGATTGTCCCTGCGAAGAAAAATAAGAAATAACAAAGAATTATAAGAGAGATTTAGAGTAACGTTTAAGAAAACGGCAAACGACAGATTCAAAGAGAATTTCTTAATAAAAAATAGGAAAACTTGCTGCTAAAACAATTCAAAACAATTTTTAGGGACAAAATAATGTGAACTTCTTTTTGAACACTTGAAACATGAGTAAAGCATAAGTTAAGGGAAAACTTGGTCACGTGGTACAAATTCACGTTTGACATGTCTCTAAATCTCTGTATTGTCAGCTTATGATGGTACAGGTGGACATCGAGTGTCCCAATGATCCTAAGAAGCTACGCCGACTGGGACGGACGCTAGTCCCAGGAGATGATGTCATTGTGATGTCACGTGTCTTTTAGAAATGAAACCAAGACTACCCAGGAAAGTAAAATGGGTTCCCTGTGGACATCTTTTAATTAGTATAGTCCATCTGTTATTAAATGAACTAGCCGTTCAATAAATCAAAGTTATATAATTCGCTATTTCACAAGAGTTGAACTTAACCTTTTTTTTTTTTTGTCTGTGATCAGGGTTACGGAGTGTAAAGACTTTCACGAGTTGCTTATAATGTTCACTATTTACCTGAAATGTTCACTCTCAAAAGACCTTTTTCCACCATCAAAGCTCAAACTTAAGGTGAATGTGACAGTCATAAAAGTTTCCAAATCGACAAGCGACGCATTCCTCTCAGATAAAAGCCGCCATTAATAAAAGTAAGTGAAGAAATATTTTTCAGACTGCGAGTCTTTCCCAATTGACGAACAGGAATGAGATGTACAGAGACTGAATTCTCAAGTGCGTCACAGGTAGCTCAGTAATGGTTGAATCAGATTATAAATATGAGTCAGAGTAAAACGTCGATTCAGCTTAGCGCCAACCTGGGTAGTTTTCAGATCTTGCCGCTTAAGAGAGAACGAATTAAACTCACCCCAATAAGTTTACTATAAATTGAGTATGAACTCCTAAAGGAGATTGCTCGCTCTATTATCCTGAAAACATTTCTTGAATACTGATGGCCTCTTGATAGGTTTTACATTTTCAACCTCCTTCTACTAATTTACATTATAAAAGGATAGTAATTTCCTTTTTGGATCATATTACGAGACATCTGCCTTACTGTTTGCCATCAGTTCCCGTTTATGGCCTCTAGTTAGTTGCCATCTTAGTCGAACTGAAAAACAGCATGCTTTACGTTACATTTATCACCAAGGTGTCCTCTGTTCACAACTAAGGAGAAGGTTATCTTAAAAGATAACCTCAAAGTATTCCCGATCGACTAACACGTTGGGCGTTTGCAAGGTGCTTTCAAACTGTAAACGTGACTACCATGATATGCAAATGCAAAACAATGTTTTATTTCTTTCTGCAAATATATCATAAGGACAGCGAGGCAAACCAGCCTGTCTTAATTACCTTCATGTAAAGGGATAAAAAACACCAGTAACCAGGTTTTTATGATATTTTAGGACAAAATATATATTTTTCCCGCCTTTTCGGCAAAGATAGGACGTTCTCATTCCAGAGATCTGTGGCTCTCAAGAACACCTTCATTTTCATCATAAATGTTTCTTTTTTTCCCTGAAACACTCTACAAGAAATAAACGCTTAAGTTCAATTTTTAGGAGGTGTCGAAATATTTTTAAAATCAGTATATGAACATGCAAACTCGTTAGGGAACCTTTTGATTATGAATGCAGAGAGTAGAACGTTCCGCGGTGAATTCCAGTTCATGGATCATGGAGCAAGGGATAACGAAGGGGGTACTTATAATCTTTAGCCTCTCTTATTCGGAGTTTAATATTACTGATACTTTAACTTACCTAAAATTAAAGTACATTTACTCCTGCTTTCTTTTTAACTACTGAGATTTCCACTAAATTCTCAGAAGTTTGAATCTTGTAAAAAATGCCTTGGTCACTACGAAAGCTATTGTTTTTCTGTATACACAGAACAATAGACGAGATAAGATGACGCAAATGTTGCTTATTTAACTTCAGACAGCTGAGCCTCTTAAACTTTTCTAGTCAGATTAAACGTGCATTGTTTGCTAGTGCGAATGGAGACGTGCCAATGATTTTATTTTCGTTTAAAAGTTGAATGTAATTGTACTTGAAATGAATCACAAAATTAGCGGTTTTTTTGGTTTCCGTTAAACCCGCAATTTTTTAATTCAAGCTGATTCTGATTAGCTGCCTCTTTATCTTGAAAGGATGAAATCCGTTGCCGGAAATTTGTCACCTTAGAAGTTATTGACTTTCTAATGTTTGCTTTTAAAGGGCTGGAATGGAAATCTGCCTCAAACACCTCAAAGGCAGAGAAAGGGCTAAGTTGAAATAAATACCGAAAAAAACTCTAACAGCCTGCTACACTTGGCAATGTACTGATTGTAGTGGCTGCTGGGATCTTCTTATTTTCCATGTATAAAAGTCTTGTTAACGTGTGGATTGTTAGCTACACCTTTTACTAACACCCAAAAAACAATTTTGATGAGTTGACTGGCTTTTACTGATCTTTTTTGTTATGCTTATTATTATTTTTAGTATTTTGATTTCTGGTTCTAAATTAAAACTAATGGGTCCAGCGATAGATGTATTATATTCATAATTCCACGCACTCTGTCGATCATTAAGCGAGTGCCGGGCAGGTAAAGATGCGATATTTTTAAACCATTCTTATTTTCCTGTCGGGATCAAGTAACTGCCCTTAAATTCATTTTTCATCCATGTTAGTTTTAAATGTTCCGGGTCTTGCGTGAGGATGCATAAGTGGGCAGCTCCAAATTAACCAAACGGTGCCTGCGACGAGAACAGCAAAAAAAAATTATTAGGTCTAGTAGCAACAACAACAACAAAAAACCCACACACACATTTTTTTGGTTGTACATTTCTTTGCCGTTGTTTTGCACGACAACAACGTGAATTTTCTGGTTACACGTTCTATGGAGGAAATTTCGCATGGGTTCCCGTTCGCTTTGTTTTCATTGCCGCTCATTTTCACCACTTGTGTCTGTTTATCAATTCATCTTCAGATGGATGGCATATCTTACAGGGTATTATCATTATTTTATGTTTTAGTAAAGGGCAAGAAGTAAATGTGACAGTTGACTTCGGCTTACATGGGGTGGATGGACGTACAGGCGGTCACGTGATTATTAATTTTTCTGGCTTCCTTACGTTAAAGGATTAAATTAACTCCAAAAACCGTGGACGAAGACAGAAAAGCTGATCTGTAGACCTGAAGAAGGATAGTATGGCCAGCCGAAATATTGTTATAAAAAGACAATTATACCTGCACGTTGTTCTGAATCAGCTTTGCAGTAGTCTTTGGACTTCTCGTTTTTGGTTCCTTAGGTTACCATTAATTTTTTTCTTACCCATAGTGCTGCGCTGCGGACGCTTTGCGCTAGAGAGAGCTCCACTTCTAAGATCCACACTACACTTCAGGATCGCCTTAGATAATACAGTTGTCGGCAGAATACGCAAGAAGGTATGACGTAGAAGAAGCATCAGCCTGGAGACCAAGTTGAAGGAATGAAAAGCGTTGTTGTATTCCTACACTTTCACTCAACTAATGCCATTTGTTTATTCTTTGTCTCATTGCCTTTACTAAATTCAGCCTGATATTAAGTGTATATTGTTCTCCCAGCAGTCTCAGCTCAGCTGCGCTGGACGGGTAACCTCATTCACGGCGCACATGGAATCATCTCCCCTCGCATAAGTAGATGAAAAGCCATTTCCCTAGTTTCAAAAAGTTTCAACTTTCAGGTATTGACACATAATGTTAACTTATTTTATTAGGTACAATTGTTTTTAACAATGTGTGAATGCTCTTAAAATTTAAAGCTTGCAAAGACACTCTTTCTTGATAATAAGCCCAAACTAGATATTCTTATTTTTCTGCCGATGCTGAAAATATTCTAGTAAATATATTCTTATGTTATTGATACTTTTTGACGTATAGTTCACCTCTTTTGTCAGGAGCCGATCAAATGGAGTTGTACTGTATGTCTTGAATACCTTACATATATATTACATGCACCGTTCATCAAAATGTCTCAAGTCACGGTTATTAGCTACCACTATTTTTGCCGTTAAGAGGAGGATTCTTAAACGATTCGAAACATACCGCCTAGTGTATTGTTATTTTCAACAAAATATTACATAAATATATATAGATTTAGCCAGGGCTAAAAGCGAAGCTCTCGTTAATATCAGTCTGTAGTTTACTCGAACAAAATATAAAATCATTTAATGCTAAGTGGCGACGGCAACAAAAACAGTGCAAAAAAAAATCAGTTGGTCCAATTAGCAAAAAAAAAAAAAAAAACTTTGAACGGGCAGCACCCTTTTTTTGTACATTTCTTGCCATTTTTTTACAAGACTTGAACGTGAAACTTCCAGAAACGTCTTAGTTACACGTTTCATGGAGGAAATGTTGTATTTATTCGTCGATCCTGTTCATTTTTTTTTCTATGCCACTCATCAGTTCACCTTGGTGGCCACTGGTGGCACTTCTCATTTTCACACCGCCGCTATAAAATTCTCATGTTATTCTTCCAAAGTAATTGGTCTCCTTTGTTTGTTATCTCTCGCTCTAGCTCTTTCTGTTATCAATATAGACATCTTAAGGAGTTTTATTAGCATCGACGACGGCAACGGCAGCGAAACGTCAGTTTTAAAATGAATTCCCGTTTTTTCAATCTTTGTCGCGTTTATTCCAATTTGCTGAAAATGGCAATTGTAGGCGAATTTCCCTGGAGTTGATTTCTTGAGGACCGCACTTAGTTTTAGAGAGAGAAAAAGAGATTCGTCGTCGCTTGTTTACGTCCTCCACAAAACTTGCAATTATGCAAGGACGGTGAAGAAATGTACAAAAAAGCGTGATGCATGAGCAAAGTTGTTGTTTTGCGTAACAAACCTATTACTTTTTTGACGTTCTCGTTGCCGCCGCCGTTGTCCTTGCTAAAGCTTCCTATTAAACTTAGTCGAGAGTAAAAATCGGATTCGTTGCTGTTGTTGTTGTTGTTTTTATCTCTAAAAGTCCGGATGGCAATGCCATTTACCGCCGAAACGAGCGGGTACTTCCGCTATAACATACTCATCCCCCCGAAGAGCTGACTCCTGACTCCCTTCACCCACCCTCAGCGTCTGTACGGACGTACTGGCGTACGTTCACGTGATTACCAAATTTCTCGGATAGATGAATTTAAAAAAAATTCTTAGGTATGGGGCTACGCGTTTAGCTTCAGTATTGATATTAACTTATTTTCAAATCCTGAGCATGGGGCTTATTCCTAACTATTCTTAATATTTTTACTTTCTGCCTCGATATTTTTATAAAATAAATTCTTATAACAGAAAGAGTGTATTAAGCTATACGATTGATTTTCTAAATAATCTCCTTAGAATAGTGTATATTATCTTTAATGTATTATAAATTTCTGTATACTGTTGTTGTATTTGTGGTTAATGAAAAAATAAATGAATGATTGAATGAATGAATGAATGTTTAATTGTAGCTAAAGCTAAACTGCTTTCGCGGCGTTTGTGTATTCTTCGTTCCGGACCCTCCTTCGCCCGTTACCTATATGCTAAGGCATAAGTCATTTTTTAATCAACGTGAAGATATGGAAGTTTAAAACCCTCTAGAATACGATGGCGAGCAATTTAAACTCGGAAAATGCAACGCGTCAAATTTTAGTGAATATGGTATGTGTAATTCAAGTAGCTTGCCTAAGAGCATAGCTAGGGAATAGATAATCAGGTATTTTTGTCGCGGAATTATTCTGAGTAATCGTATTTTCATTGGCGAAATCTAAAAGTACTCGGCTAACATCATAGACTAGACTCTGCCAATAACATACTGGTCATGCATTCTTCCACACCAGTATAAGAAAAATTCCAACTGACTTTATTCATATGGGACTGATGAGAAGAAGCTTTGACTTAGGCTCACGAGTATTACTGAGTTAAAAGTAAGCGTTTTTATCTCGTGTTATTTGGAGTGCGGACACTGGCCGCGATGCACTTTTCACGAAACAGTTTTCCTTCAAACTCCTTTGCTATGAACTATGAACTACTATGCTGCGAGGATCACATGCATGGTCCACATTCAACTGCTGGATCATTTCCTGCGTTCGGTATTGGGTAATCTTAAGGGAAATCTCAGTTTAGTTGTTTTAAAAGATATGTAAGCACTTGTGCAGAGTAATCCTTTAATTTATTCCTTGAGTCACATAATCCACTTAATAGGAAACAATACTGTAATTCACGATCACGTTGTCTATGAAAACAGGCGTTGACTGGATTAAAGGGGACGGATTCGCATGTGAATTGATGCCGAAAGCTAGAGCTCGGAGTCGTTTTGCAGAGTGAATGTGAAGAAAGAGAACAGACTGTTGGCAGACAGTGATTATTCTGAAAAGTCTAAATCTATTGTACACGGTGCAACGCTACGAAGAATCTCAGACATTCCTTAAAAAGTCTTGGAATTCAAATTTTCATTTGTCAAGCTGCGTAAAAAGGCTCTTGCTTTCAAAGACGCTCTAGTGTTACTCATTGTAACATCGGATCAACATCAAGACGCTACGATCTTTGTTTTTTCTTCTTTAAAGGTTCAGGTGTCGTCCTTGTATATTTTCCCTCGAGATTTAAGGGATGAATGCTTTTAAGTGGAAAATCCATACTCTGCTTGTACTCTGGTGTATAAGGTGAGTTACATAAGGCTTATTCACTAAGGCTGCTGTACTCGATTACAAAATACGGTTAAAGTTTAAATTGATTTGCCATCGACAAGTTAGACCTCCTGGATCTCATGCAGAGTTTTTACTGATAAACAAGATAATCTACAGAGCGTCTGTTTTGTGGACTTACAAGCGGTGCAACAAAACTGGGAGCTGAACGATAATGGTTACATTTTATTAAAACTTAAGTTGAAACAGCAGATTAGTAAAAAGTCAACGCTTGTCTTTTCAAGAACGAAGAATTTTAGTGAAAGGTATTTTAAATAGCCATAGACCGAGCACTTAACGATGGAAAATATATCCCAGACAAATAAGCAAAGCGCTTAGCTTTTAATCTTCGACGAATAGTGACCTGTTTTATTGATTTTCGATGCAGCGTTATGGCGCATCCCTTTTTTTTTGTTGTTGTTCACTGATGTATAGTGCCGGCATATAGTCTGAACTAGCTGTGTGTATGTACAACTGGGTTGATACCTGTGCGTGCAATTAAAAGAAGTGATTACGTGAACTATGTATAGTGAAAACCCAGAAATGTTTTTTCTCTTAACAACTTAAGTGTGGGCTGGCTGTTGACTGACATTATAGCATCTGTGAGTGCCATCGCAATTTTAACAATAAGGACAGTGCACTTTACTTGTGATAATTAGCTTAAACAATGTAAACATGCTTGAACAGTTGACGTGACTTTATTCAGTGGGGTAATTGCTTTCAACACATCATTAAGTGGACTAAAGGCAGCTCATTCATTGCATAAAGACAACCTCATTCACGGGAAAATTTGTCATTCTGGAGTTGCTCGTGTTTGTATTTTAGACAGAGCTAAGTCATTGCATGCCTTGGGGCCCGGGGGACTACTCAACAATGTTTTATACGGGGAGGCTCCGCCCGGAGGTCCAACCCTTTAACCTTTTATATACCATTTTTGACAGAAAAGGTTCTCTTTCGTACACTTTCTATTGACAAATGATTTCCCTTTCACATACTTACTAACAAATAAGTTTTCTTGTCATTTCATGCAGCGTTTACTAAATTTAATTGATTCGGCAGCAAGGTGCGTCTGTTCGAAATATTTTAATTAAAGACCTCTGTAAACACTTAAAAGACAAATTTTGCTACCCTTTCATACAGTTCAACTCCGAAAATCCCTACTCTTTTATTTCCTTGAAGCCCGAAAAAAAATAAAATCTCTTTCGTGGTGCGCCTCCCTGTTACATGATAGGATTTTGTAGGGAATACCTCTTCCCCAGGGCTTAGGGGTTAGAGGATATCATACGAGTTGTCATCTATCATACACCAACCTAGCGGGTGGTCTTGTTTCAAAGGGATCATTTTTTTGCAGTTGTAGCACAGGGACGGGGAAGAAGAAATCCCGTCCCAATGTGTGGTGCGAAAAAGCCCCAGGACTTTCTGATGGCCAAAGGAAGGTTTGTCATAGGGTACCCGGACTTCAAACTGCAATCAAGAAAGGAATCGAGAAAGGGCTCTCAGAATGCGAACGGGAATTTAAATGGAGCAGATGGAACTGTACTTTGCTAGGAGAAAAAAACCTTCTTCAGCGAGCGCCAGGTGAGACATTCAATCCCTATTGTCCAATAGCTTTATCCTGTTTACTTTAACTCCAACATTGTCGCAGTGTCAAATTGATAAATATTTTTCTTTACGAAGAGTCACGCACCAAGAAAAAAAAAATTACGGCAGTAAATACTATGCCCAGGATTACAATCTCGATGATTCATGTGGCTTCTTTATATTTCTCTTTTTTAGGGCTTCTTGGTTAAATAACGTATTTGAGAATCAACTTAACAAACGGCTGAAACGACATAGCCTTTAGGCAGCACATATGACATATTTAAGCTTATCTATAGGAGAGTATAGCCCGCTATGCTCTGGGAAAGACCTCATTCCGCCGGATCACGATAAATAACCTTTTTTTGGACCAGTCCACAATGCAAATGATCTGAAAGTTTTTATTTCATCGTGTTTTTTTTTTGTAATATATATATATATAGATGGTACTAAGGAAGCTGCGTTTACCACGGCAATTCTATCAGCCGCCATAGCTTTTAACATAGCAAAGGCTTGCACAGCTAAAGATGTCACCGAATGTAGCTGCGAAGGAGTGAAAAGACCCTTCCGCGGACAGCCATGGAAGTGGAAAGGTTGCAATGTAAATATTCGCTTCGGTTCTTACGCTGCTGAGCGGTTTATGATGAGTGGAAGGAGTAATGACACCAAACTCAACATGATGTCGAGACACAATGTTAGAGCTGGCCTTGAGGTACGTTTTTGTTTTCGCAACAGTCGGCAACAGTATCCGGCGACAGATGACAATATTTGGGCGAAGGTTCCTTGATTCAAAATACTGCATTTCAATGATAGTACGTCTTGCATTGAATGGATAACGGCAGCATAAGCTTATTTTTTTCAAAATGGACAAGTTTTAAGATTTGTGGATGTTTCTGACGAGCCACAGGAACTGTTCATACATGAAAAAAATGGTTCATTGCTACCGTGGTTTGATCAAATAAACGAGATGAATAGGCGATTTGCAATAAGAGGTCATGTGACATCGTTTTTATAAAAACTGAAAATAAAGTGATTTTTTCTTCAAAAAACGATTAGTGGGTCATATCTTTAACAAAATAATAGTGATTTTGTTTTGTAAACCTGCAACATTTTCTTAACATGAGTAAGTTCGTAGTTGGTCACGTGACCAAAATGTGATTTTTAAAATTATGAATTACCTCTTTCTGAACACAAACTTTGCACTTAGATCTCAAGGAAAATGTTGAAACGTTGATGTGGGAACGTTTACAGCAAATCTGAGCGTAACTATCAAACGTTTAAGAAGATCTAAGCAAAAAGTAGTTTTGTCCGCCATCTTGGAGGGCAAGAGTATGCCCCCAACATGGCGGCCAACACAAATGATACTACTTCGTTGAAAAATCAAAGTGCCATAAAATGTCTCCCTTAAATGCGTTTCCTCTCAAATTTCGGGTGTAAGATAATTTTTATGTGCTCTGTCAATTTTTGGCATCATCTAGATTCCAGCTCATTGTTTAAAGAAAACATTGGTCACGTGACCTCTTAGTGCAAACGGCCTATTAAATCCCTCGAAATAAAGCCTCTAACACAAAGCAAAACTTGGAAAATTATCGGCTGGTCCTCTAATAACTTTAAAAAGTAAGTCACATCGATGGGTAGTGCCCCTGGGCCGTACAGTCAGGTTTATCGCATAATGAGGTGGACGTCCTGACGTACGGCGCATGCGTACGGTCATCCGGATTTTCCTGGCTCATGTTTTTTTTGGTTTCTTTGGTCAACGCACTGGCATTAAGGCCCCGTTCAGATGGAGGAAACTTCCGGGTAGAAGGGTCACTCTTCTACCCGAACCACTCTGGCGTGCCAGCTTTTCATATTACATTTCCTTTCAAAACTTGGTGATTTACATAAGAAACAAAAAGTTGATTCTGCTAGAAGGGTGACCAACCTGCAGTAGACGGTTCACCCTTTTTCCATTGTAAGGACTGTGACCTTCCTGGTCGGGCCAACTTTTCTCCATACAAACACTTTAGCCAGGTCAACTCAGCGTTTTTGAGCGACGGACGTCAACCGGATTTGGACTTTTTGCATCATTTGGGAGTTGTTTGGTTGAAACTCTCGGATGAATCGTCTCTATAAGAGAAACGAAACTTAGTAATACAAATTTGTTAGCGTCAAGGCATATAAAAAGAAAGAAGGCTTCACTTCCGGTTGAAGTGTGTCGCTCAAAACGTCTTTACACATGCTCCCCATTCAGAGCATGCACGAGAACGCTGTGGTCAGCGGCATGGCTGTGGCAAAGAGAGCATTTTTTTCTCACATAAACACATCACAAAAATTTACTCGGCTGTGTTGAGTGGGTGACCCTCCTTCCCGGAACAACTTTTCTCCAGACAAACGAGGCTTAATGGTAACTGTTTATTTTTTTTCTTTTTAGGTTTTAAAAGAAAATAGAGTAATCAGGTGTACTGTAGGAAATACAGGGAACGTGAAGTCATGTCACCTTACCTTGCCACCACTCGAGAAAATCAGCAGAATTCTTAAAGCAAAATATAACGGAGCTAATGAGGTATTCCCTTCCCTACGAGAAAATAAGAAGTCCCTCTATCTGTTGAACAGGGCACGATTCCGAAATCGACAAAGTGGTAACCGCCCAAAAAAATCAGCATTGGTTTTCCTGGTGAAATCTCAGTACTGTTATCGCCAAGATGAATATCGAATACCAGGAACGCAGGGACGCTTGTGCCGACGAAACACCAATAAGGAAGACGATTGTATCTTTCTTTGCTGTGGTCGCGGATACAGCAGAAATGTGTCTCATAAGAAAAGATTTTGCAACTGCAAAAAAGGTCCCAGTGCGCCTTGCAGCTGCAAATTATGTACAGACGTTGTGATCGAAAACAAGTGTTTGTGATGATACTGCTGACAGTGTACTTTTTATGAAGTTACTTGGGGGCTGCCTTAGCAACAACAACAGCCAAACAAAGAAAACATTGTTTCAAAAACATACATGGCTGAGAGAGCAATAAAGTCAAGGAACTAAGTTTAGGGAGTAGCGTACTTTACTCTCTCGGCTCATCTGATTGCAGAAGACGTCAAAATTTTTATCGTCGTTACATGGCCGTAACAGTTTTATTAGTCTTTCTAGTTTCATAACAGGATATACAGTATAAGCCTATGACAGTCTCTTTTTTTGCTCAGTTAAGTTTTCTTAATATCGTTGGGGTACTACATCTGCCTTGGTTTTACAAGACAGCAGTTCTCATGGTTGTTATCGACATCATTCACATGTCAAATGGCTTAATTACCTAGAGGGATATTAAAGCATAATGATTTTTTTATTGTTAACTTGGATTGTGAAGTCGAAAGCCTGAATAACCACCCTACACGGACATTTCACAAATTAACCCCGACATGACGTTTTGCTGAGATATGCTTCAGCTAATAATGTACATGTTTTATGTTTATTTACAAAAACGCCATGTTCGTATATAGTAGCCAACTAAAAGAAAGTACTCAGATAAACTTTAAAAGCATACGCATTATGGGATAATATGTACAGTTATTGATTAAATGATTATATTACTGTTTCAAGTGATGGCTTTACATCTAGGTGCTATTCAAAACGCTGATATCTAGTCGACTGTTAGGTATTGCTCCAGTGATGAGATATGAGATGACACTCGTTCACGTACTGATGTTTATTTCTTTTCTTAACCTTACTTCCATAAACACCGTGAGAACTTGGTGATGTCCTTAAAATCACTAGAACAAGGAAAACGTCTTGGCTTCTTGAAATGGATTGACAAAGAACTTGCGTCAACTAACCGCAAAAACAGAAAACTTAACCTTTTAACAACAAAATTGCGTGACGCTTTCCCGTACGTCCTAGCTTGCGTTAGAAGGAACTTTCTCGTTAAATCTACAAATTGCGTTAGCGTGCGCGTGCAGAAAACAAAGATTTCGGATAAAAAATAAGTTAATTGAACGTGCGGCTAATTGCTGTAGCTACATTAGGGTTACAGAATTAGAAAGACTTATGTACTCTCTTTCGTGTCTTTATTACGAATACCAATACGTAAACTTCTGAGTTCCTTTTTTATGTCCTTTTTCAGTAAAGCATAAACCAGCGGATTAATAGCAGAATTAAGGAAAATCATCAAATCAGCAACCCTGAAAAGATGATCGTTTGTAACGCACAACTCTAACTTGTTACAAAATGATATAACAGTGTCAAAGGACCAGCACAAAACGAAAAGCCCGATCACAGATCCCAAGACTGCGATGCTAGATCCATCAGGTTTTCTTTCTCCTGCGCTTGTCTGTGAGGCACTAGACATTTTCTTCCCTGTAGTTGTTAGCATGTCTAGGTTTGCTGTCCGTTTAGGAACCTCACTGTGCGTGGAATTGTACTCAAGCTGTGTTTTGTGGGCCTCGACCTGACGTGCGTGCCTTCTTGCGGTGCGAAAGATGTGAGCATACATCGTTGGCATGACAACTGTGGGCACGACCTCGAATGTAGTTATAACAATGAAGGCGTGAACCTTTTTTGCGATCGTCTTGACATATTCAGATGACGAAAACATCCAGAATAGAGGAGAGAAAGAGAAAAGTGCTGGCAAAACCCAAGAAGCTGTTATAGCAGCAAATATTCGAGAAGTGGTCGCGTGCGATGGATACCGAAAGGGAAAAACAATTGATATATAACGGTCCACCGTCATAACAAACAAACTTGCTATAGAGACTAACGTAAAAAGATTAAAGAACATATTATAGGTGACAATGTCACACGCAGACCAAACGTTGCAGACGATGAAAAAACTTGGGAGAAATAACCCTACCAAAAGGTCAGCAGCTGCAAGAGAGGCCACAAAATAATTACCAACGACTTGAAGTCGTCTTCGTGAACAAATAAGAAAGAAAACCATTCCATTTCCTACTACACCAAAGAAGGCCATAAACAATGCGAGTATGATGTAATACAGAGGGAGCGAGTCTTTTTCGGATTCACCCATGTCGACGAGTTTGAATTCAAGCAGGTTCTTCTTTTCCGTTTGGTTGACGCGATGGAAAACCTTATCGTATATTTGCAAACCACTTATTATAAGTTCTTGCCCAACCGTCAGTTATTCTCTACAACTCGCATAATGAGACGTTTCTAAAACTCTACTGGTCAATCCTGTATTTCAGTGTGTAGCGGTGCAGTAAATATTCTCCTGACCTTGAAAGTTTAATTGGTACACTAGGACTTCTTTAACTTTCAATCATTGGCTTCTCTCCACGTAGTAAGCCGTTGTTGCTAAATAACAACCGGCTTTAAAACCCATGCGCGCGATGATCAAAAGTTATGATTATGTTGGTTTTACTAAATACATGTATGTTATGAATATGCACTTTTTGTATCATCACCTGCCTACTATGTGGTAGGAATCCTTTAAAATGGTAATCACAAAAAGGAGATCTTTGATCATATCAATCGGATCTTGAATCATTTGTTCACATTGTAATTAAAATTAAGCAGTTTTATGTACTTGGAGTAAGTATGCTCGTTTGACACTTAGTAGACAAGATGTTGAGGTACACTGAAGAAAACGAAAACAATGCGATATCATTAAACATTTTTATTAAAATCATTTTCTGACTCTTTGGGCAAGGGCAAAGGCTGAGCGTTTTTCTTTAACAGAGCTTTTCAAAAACTAAGTTTTGTTAATAATGAATTTACTCAATAACAGTCATACTCTGACTAATATATGAAATTTTCAGCACAAAATGATAGCTCGTTTATAATTTGCAAATTCAGATCAAGGAGCCTGCAGAGCCAAAAATAAAACTAATAAATATTTTAGAATCACTTCATGCTTAAAGTCTATCAGTGCAAAATTTGACCGAACAAAGTTTAACTCAAGATCTGCCTACGACTAACGAAGGCAACAAATTGCTCAAACAGCAATTCAAATAAATCACTTCCTCGTTAACTGTCATTCAGTATTACATCAAAAAGCATATAAACAAGAGAGGAACCAAAGTCAGCTTCACAGAATAATAGAAAAAAATAGTGTGTTGAATTTGTTCAGCTTAGGATTTTGGACACTAGTACAAAAGCGCCAAAAGTACCAGCTTTTGATGATTAAGTTCCTAGCATGGTCGCAATTTTCGAAGGGAGCCTACCTTTGGACACATGATCGTTGAGTAAGAGGCATTTCCAGCATCATACAATTATAACTTAATCACGGAATGCGTATTTTCTAAATTTTTCTCGTCAGAAGGCGTTTATGAAAGTCATCACTGACAAAAGGCAATATTAAAACAAAATTTTTTCTCTTGTATCAAGTCCAGAAGAAAAAAAGTATGTCATAGCATTTGTCAAGTTTTATTTTCGCTGGAGTTCTGTCTTTTAACTTTATTTAAGTTATAGCATCAAAAAAGCGGTCGCCAGCTTTTGCATTTTGGTCAAGCAGGTTACAAAAAATTAAACAAGAAGGTTAATTCAGTCCGTCGTGTCTTTAGCTCCCAGAGCACAGCACTAGCTTACAACAACATTCGCGAGAGTCATTAAGGAAACCTTATCTGAAGGTGATATTTCTATGGCGACTAGATCGAACCACAGGACGTTAAAAATATGAATGGACGAGACAACTTGGTTGCAGTTGATCGTCATATTGAATATTGACTATTCAACAACTGTACAAGATTTTAAGTGGTCTGTTATGAGATTTGATCATTGGCCCCTACAACGTCGTTTTTCAAGCCGCAAAAGGCGAAGTCACACATTTGACACGCAACACGAGACGATTTGCAACACAATAACGACGATTTTCGGGGCAACAGTGCTGAAACAATCCTGGCGAAATTCGAAACAATGACGCACTAATGTCTTAACTCCCTCCTATATTCGCCTTAAGCAACCCATGTATAGTTCTGATCTGAGACGTCATGAGAATAACAACTATACTGACACTCACCAAGTAAATACATGTACTGAAGGATAGCCCCACTGACCTCCTGCCAAGTAGGTTGACAAAGTGGCGGACTAAAACATTAATATTTAGATTTATAGCGTAAGCGAAAGAAGTTTGTCCAAAGTGACGTGATTCTTTGATTTCAATTACACCCAACCTAATGTTTTATAACCCAAGGAAGCATTACCTTGTTTATTTTACTGTTAGTTTTCGCTTTAGAAGTACCGAATTTTCAATACTGAAATTTTGCACAACATTTCTCGTTACAATGGGTCTTGAAGATCTACTGATATAAATTCAATTAAAGATAATCTTAAGTCTATTTGATAGCATCTCCATTTTATATTTCACGATGGGTAAATTTTTTGTTATAACATATGCCCCCAAATTTTATCTCTGTTTCTGAAAAGTCATTTGTGTTTAGAAAAGCCGCCCTTCTTTGTAAGCAAAAATTATGTTGGTAGCGCAGCTATGTGTTAAAGTCGTACTTTTTATGAAAACGTCTTAACGGAAGTTTCTAGTTCAGTTTCCTGAAAATAACATTTGTACATTCATCATAGTTTTCTTGGTGTGACTTGAATTTGTTTTCTCGCGGGTTTTGATTCCTTCGATGTTTGAAGTATTAAGTCGTTTCTTTACAGTAAAACTGAAAATATTATGATAGCTTTTAAAAGTGGGTGCAATTGATAAGTGACAACGTCATGAACCAGCCAAGGTTTCAAATCAACTAATAATAGGCTGTTTTTGTTGGAATCTCCTACTGTATATGTGGGTTTGCGCCTTCCAATGTGACCCTCAGAAAGACTTACGCAGCGCTAGCGAAGAAAACGCATGGCAAAATCACAGCCATTTTAGCATTTACTCGATCTACAGAATCCTTCCGAGATACAAAGTGGGTCGGTGAACTTTTAAGAGATCCTGTAAGGAGTAGGGTTATCACAGGGATCCCAAACTCAGTGTATGAACGCTTTTAATTTATTTTTGGATATTCGCTGGTAGGATCTTATCCCAGTTATAGCCTGAGCTCCACAATTCTTTTAGGTCGATTCTGAACTTGACTGCTACGGGCAACGCAAGAGCGATAGGGTCCCATAACTGACTGTCAGGACACGCAGCTCGTTGAATTTGTTCTTTTTGAAAGTAAACTTGTCCGTCTGTTGATGCCATCTTTGATCGAGACCTGTGAACCGTTCACCGTTGCCGATGGATTGGTCAACTCAGTTCTGCCTGATTGGAATGCCACGTTTTGATCTGCAAGTGACCTTTCTCGAGGATAGCGCGTCAATGTGGTTGGTGTATAATCAGCTTTGCTTTGGTTGCTGTTTCTCTGGAGCTGCCAATATCATCTAGGTACACATGCTGTTGAAGTTCCTTTGCGGCTTCCGGGAACTCTGCTTGCGACAGCTTTTCTGGACTGATTGATGGCGTTAGGTGCAGTCTCAGGGAGCAGTTTTATCACCAAAGT